GAACCTTTCAGGTAATTTCTTGGTGGATGCTTATTGTCTCCGATATGATTTGTTCCGTTGGCTTTGAGCACTGGTGAAGATATTGATTCTTTCAGTAGCAGGTTGTCATTTGCTGACATTATTGCTGACAAAATTAGTTTCGAATATTTTTTTTTTTTGATGCAAAGCTGAGAGCTGTTTCCCTCAGAGAACAGGACAGCATGCTGTGTGTGCAGTGGTTTTTCCAGTACATGTAAAACATCAAGGAACTCCACTGTTCTGACGAGTCAAGAGAGCACAGGAACCATTCAGTTTCACAGCAAAGAGGAGGAGGTTGAATACTGACACTTGAACCATGAGAGCATCTTTTCTCCCTGTAATCTAACTCTTGCTATATTTGTTCAGCTAGGATTGTGTATTAGCAGAGCTTCAGCATCTGTGCTTAATCTCAACTGCTGCCTGGTCCTTCTGCCAATGTGCCGTGTTCTCTTGGCCTTCCTGCGAGGCTCTCAGAAGGTAAGTACCATCCTCAAAATGCAGCAGTTGAGAAGAAGAGGGCCCTGGTCTATCTTTAGGCTAAAAATAATAGGAAAAAAATCTGTTGTATCCCTGTTTATGATACAGTATGTGCCTGCATGGTGCAAGTATCAGACATTCAGGCGAGATTCATGACTCCTTTGAAGACAATGCCTTGGCTGGCATTGCTGGTTTGATTGGATTTGTTGTGAGGTTTCGTCAACACCTTGTTGAAGGACAGGGAGTTGCTGTGAAGCTGTAACCAGATGAATTCCCCTCCTTCTTTCCCAACTCTACTATGAAAGACTTCTGTCCCTTCTGCTGCTTCATGGTAGAATTCATCAGAGCAAAAATTTGTCTCTGCATGATCAGAAGTGTCCTACTGGAGATGATAGAACTTTAAATAAAAATACCCAATGGAATATACTCGTTACCATGGGAGAAAAAAAAGTTCTGGCAACACTAAGAGGGTTTGTTTTCTGTACCAGTATTCAGTCAACTGTAGTTTAGCTTGTTTGTGATTTGGCAGTTGCTTTGCAGAAATATAAGTAGTGCTTTTGAGGAATATCTGTGTTTTCTAGATGGTTGCAAATTCAACCTGTGAGTTCTGTTCATTGTAAGACAGTGCCTGTAAGATTTGATGCCTATAGATGCACATATGTGTGCAGATATACCTTTCCCTCTGATCCTGCTCACTAAAGAGTCAGTGATGCCTACAACAATTAGTGCTGGATTTTTAAGGCCAGAAGGTATATTACTTTTGTGTGCTCTTGACATCTATGTAACACAGGTAATTTCTTCATTAAGACCTCAAAATTGGCTCATTGACCGTACTCCTGTAGTTTTTAAATTTAGATACCGTGCTTGCGAGGGTGTTAAACCTAGTAAAAGCTGATGTTGCTATTATATATCACCTCATTTGCTGTTAGTATTTTTTTATTTGCTTTGTTTTAGAAGAGAGATTGCTTGAATTCTTCTCTTATTAGGTTGCCAGCAGGAAAACCAGAAGGCTGCTGGATAAAAGCAAAACTTTCCATGTGACATGCGGTGTTACAATATGCATCTTTTCAGGTGAGATCTTAACTGTGCTGAGCAGCAGCTTGTTTGCGAAACACATTGAAGCAGCGCTTTGTGGTTTTTCTTGTACAGTACATTTGGGGGTAGTCTTGCTCTGTGCTTCCCTGCCTTAAATTGTGAATGCTTTCTCAGATGAGTGTGGGCTTTGGTTTATTTTTCCTTTAAATATATGGGCTTACATTCTAATGCTGAGCCTTTCCTTAAAATTCCAGTTTCTAAAAGGACAGGTATGTGAGATCAGGTAAAAATCTTCCCTTAAAAGTGGAGGGTCACATATAATTGTGGCTAAGGAATGTGAGCGAAGAAGCAGGGTGCCACCGGCTTATCTGCAGAAGAGGGAGCAGAGGAGACAAATACCCAATTCGGTGAAGAAGAAATATTCCTGGGTGAACACCTTTGAGTGTTGTCTCCCAGCTGAAGCATTTCAGTATGGAAATGATTGCTGTAGGGTTAAAAAAAAATCTTAAAATAGATACAGCTTTCTACCATGTGTATCTGTAACCTGATTTACTTTAGAAAAATAATTCCTTAGTCCCTGATGCATCTCATGCAGGTGATGTGATTATAGCTTGGCTCTGGGTAGCAACTTTACTTTGGGGGAACATCTACCTCTTCTTAATGTATCTCAGCTTTACTCTGTTTTTTTTTTCAGTCTTACATGTTGCTGCTCATCTGGTGAACGCTCTTAACTTCTCTGAGAACTACAACGAAGACTTTCTGTCACTGAATGCAGCGAACTATCGTGGTGAGGTGAGGCAGCTGTCCTTTTGTATTTTGCTTTTAAGTATATGATTTAAATATATGATGATTTGTATATCCAGTGCCACTGTGTGATCCATCCAATGGATCAACAGTGCTGTCGATTTTGTGCATCGAAAATGCACCATCATGAGGATTGCTGTGGATTTTATTTCTTTCTCTGGTCAAAGCATGTAAGAAGCACTTTAAGTCAGCAGGATTCAGATCTATTGGATTATGAAGGGGAGAATGCCGTCATCAAATTCTTTCACCTAGTGCCCTGTTCTCCTGCTTCTCTACAACATGCTTTAACTTTTGGTCAGCCCTGAATTGGTCAGGCAATTGGGTTAGGTGATCATTGTACATCCCTTCCAACTGAAATTGTCTATTCTGTTCTTCTTCTGCTTCTCACTGTTCCTTGGGTGGGCTTGATTGAGACACTTCTGCGGCTGTTTTGGGAAAATACATTCTGCATCTGCAATATTTAGAATATAGGGCTATGTGACATATACTGAGGATTTGAGGATAGTGAATTTTGAGCCTGATTCTGCATTTTTAAACTACAGTGGGCACTGTAGTATGTATGCTAAGAGTGAAATTAGTTACCTGCATGAACGGCAGCTGGGCTGGAAGCTGATTTCTACTTACGAAATACTTTGTTCGCGTGAATTCTCTGACTGTGGTGCAGGTCTCTCAAAGACATACCACAGTCCTAGTCCCTCCTCCAAGTGCTTGCTTATGCATTTGGCGCGGGAGACGTGTTTGCCGATTTTAGGAGTAAGACCAGATTCCAGACTCTCTTCTTTGGGCCACAATCAAGTTCTCTCTTGTTTATATTCATTCTAGTCTCAAGTCTGTATTTCTTTTCTACCAGCTTCATCAGGAAAGATTTAGAATGACCCTATCCCAGCTGCATCCTTTCCTGGAAAAGGAGAGCTTGACTCAGCCCAGGCTCATGAGGACCAACAACCAAGGTCTTCACTCCCTGGGTGAATGATCTAATCACCGAGCTATTCCATGGCAGACAGACATGCCAACACCAACTATTGTGCTGAGGTTCTGGATTGAACTCAAGTGTCTGCTGTGTTAGGAGTGGTCCAGTAAGACGTAGCCTCATCAGGAACATTAGCGGGAGCTTTGCCTCGGGCGAGAACATGCCAGGGTGTACATGGCAGCCTGTACTAAGCAGCCTTAGGAATTTTGCAATAGAAAATGGAGATAATAGCAAGTTTTTAGTACCTCTAGGATCAAAACCTCATGGATTTTAGGTACTCTGTTAGCTCTTGAACCTTTGTGCTTGAATTCCACTTAAACAGGTTTTTTAACTGTGGTGGGCAGCCGGGATGCTGCTGTCATCTTCTGTACGTGGGTGTGCACGTTTGGATGCAAACAAGGCCAGGGAGAGGGACGCTTAATTTTTCCTGACCTGTATGAAAGCTGCTCACCTCCCCTCACTGCATTTTACTGCAAGTTAAAAAAGAAAGTTTTTCTCCACAGTGAAGACAAAGATCTCACAAGGTGTAGGACTCAGGGGGAGTGAGGCAGTTTCCTGTGAGGTTGACGTATCTCCTCTTCCTTTCACGTGTGGTGAAGGACACAGGAACATCTGGCCTCGTATTGTCAGCTCCTTTGTGTTCAGCCTGGCTTCACTGGAGTCCACTGCAAATCTCCTGGTGATGTAACTGGCAGTAAAATGCTCGCTGATGGTCTTGCATTTAAATTCAAAATCTCTCTCTCTTCTGCCCCTCTCTGTCCTCCCAGAGGTATGAAGTAACTGAGTAAAGTTAGGCTCTCAAAAATAATTATTTGTAAAATTTTAACATCCTAATTTTTCATGACGGATCAGAACTGTCCTCACTGGGGGAATGCAAAGCCCAAGGTTTTAGTTTGTTGGATCGGAGTCAGTGTAAACTGCTACCAAATACCAAATTCATTCCTGGATCCAGGTTTAGGGATTGCTTATGCCATCGAGTGCGTGAGCTTTATGAAGTACTTATTATTATTACATTATTCGTATGGATATAAAATAATGTATGTTTATTTTTTTGGCCTGTCTGTTTTTCAGGACCCAAGGAAACTGCTTTTTGCTACTGGTAAGTCTGTTGCAAAACTGAATGAGAAAGTTTGCTGCTTCTCATCATCATTCTCCAGAGAAAACATTTTGATCCTGTGTTTGCATGCTCCATTTGTTATATCTCGGCTAGGTTGAGATGTGTTATTTGTATAACACAAATATAACCTGGGTTTGCTTATCCAGTCGTCAGGAGGGAGGAGTTACATAAGCCCTGTAATAGGATGAGCAGCATCTTCAAAGCTGCTGTTGTACAGATGAGTCAGTGGAAAATCATCAGTTTCAAACAGAGATGCTGCATAATATTAAAACCAAGTTCCTAAATGATCCAATTTCTAGAAAAAGAAACATAACAAAAAAGCAGGCTCTTTTTGCTTCAGCTGGTTTATTTAAGGGTCGGTTTGACTTCAGAGCAGTCTAAGCTGTTACATGGGGATCAGGCTTCAGCACTCATAAAGAATAAATAAGCAAAGACATTTTTGGTGTGGAAATTGAGAAGGGAGCGATGTTTGGGTATGGAGGGGTAGGCAGAAGGCTGAGCTGCAGTGCTTCACAAGCAGGTAAAGGCCCTTTCTGAGGTCATCTCTTTTTCGCTCTTATTTAGATCAGTGCCAAGATACCAGCTTGGTAGTGTTCAGGGCAAGGTGCAAAGGAATTGGTGTGGACAGCAATAAATGAGGTTCTAGACCTGTCGATCCCAATGCCTTTACTAGAATTGACAGCCTGTGGGAAAGGGCTTGCAAAAAACCCTAAGCAAGGTTTAGGTCAGTTGAGAACAGAGGAAGTGAGAAAGTGAAATTACGGAAATGGAGGTACAAGTTAATGGCTAACTGGAAATAGGTTGGGTAACTGGTGTAGTTAGTGAATCGGTGGTGGAGCTTTGAAAGGAGGTAACTCAGAGGAGGAGTTAAAGATGGGGAGGGAGAATTGGAACACTCAGGTAGTGTTGTATTTAATATCTAGGATAAGGGAGGGAAAAGGACTTGCGGTGAAGAATGAGTGTTGTAGAGGCCCCATCAGATAATGTCACAGCTTCTGGGAACACCTTGCGACCTCTCCAGTTGAGCAGAGGACCTGCAAGGTGGAATTCCTCCTACCCTCTGACAGCCAGGAATAGATTGTGTTTTCAAAAGTTGGAACACATTGTTGCAAAAAGCAGTGATTCCAGGTAATCTTAAATTTAAAATCACTGAGATCACTTCCCATACTAACAACAGGTAATTAACAGTTATTGTTTGTGCTGTGGGAGTGCCCAGACTGCACTGGGAGCTGTACAAATATGCAAAAAAATGGTCTCTTCACAAACAGTTCAGAACTACATTTAGTGCCTTTGTGCCTTTTTTTTTTCTTTTTCCAAACACAGTGAAGAGAAGGAGTATGGAGTTGGAAGGATTTACAGTGTGATGACTTTTCTAATCAGTCCAGGAAAGAACCTCCTTGCTGAAGGGTGTGAGTCTAGCTCTGTGAGGAACAAGTATTCAAGATTGTAGTTAGTGGAGGAAAAGAGAGATGGAGACAGGGAGGAGAGGAAACACTAAAAATGCGCTTGGGAATTGGGGCAAGATTGTGAGTGATTTCATGTTTGCAGTTTGATGGAGAAGAGAACTGAAAAACTAGATGTAAAAGGTGATCTGTGGCTTGAGTGACAATGTAGAAAGCTGGATCAAGTGCTGTATGAGAACTGAATTGGAAGTATTTGTGTCAGAGGGGAGACTGATTGCACACTGCATATCAAATTAGATTAAGAAAGAAGAAATGAAGAAGGAGGCAACAGAAAGAATGCACAGTTTTTTTATTGCAACTGATTTTAATCATGAAGGGGCGAAATTATGTTTCTTATGCAGTCCATGACAAAACTTCCATTGACTGTAGGACCAGGATTTTTCCTACAGTTTGTAAAACTGAGTAGTGATTTGGGATGTACCAGATTTTGGGTATCAGACTTTTAAAGAAGTGGATGTTGAGGAGGTTATAAAAATACAAGATTTGAAATTCTGTCTTTATTGCTAAAGTATCTAAAATCAGAATAAATTATTTTAAAAATTAGCTCGTTCTTATAATTAAGATACGGTCGTGTAAAACATCTTGGACCATTAAAATTTGTGGTTTTGCCATTTACATCCATGAAATCTGGTTGAGATGCTTATATTCTGACACTAAACCACTACTTATTTAGGTTTGTGCTTGGTGATAGCCTTCCTGACTTTGTTTAAACCCAAACATGTGGCTTTTAGGGTGACCAGAGACTGTGTTTAAAACCCACCATTCTTCGAGAAGTAAAAGGCTTTGATGTAATGCTTCATGGATTTTGGCTTCTTAATTCAGATTCCTAATTCCTGGCATGGCAATTTTGAAGATAAGGTGCTCAGAAAAAGTGGTAACTTTGTCTGGCATTTTTCTGTCTGTCTTCAGGCTGATGGTTTACTGTACTTCATGGGCAGGATTCTACTTTAGGAAGAGATCAATCAACCTGTAGAAATACTTGTTTCTGTCCTTTGACTTAAAAAAGAGCTGAGGATAGACATTTCTGATATGAGTTTTTATTTGAGCAGATGAGTCCAATCCTTAATGTTTTTAACCTTTCCTTCTCAAATGTTGGCTGTAGATCACTCTCACAGACCTTGCTCTATGGGCAACAATTTCAAGCATGATACAATGCCATGGAGAGTAATTTCAGGCTTTTTCTCATTCCAGGATGAAATGGGTTGGCAAACAATTGTAGTGACAGCTTGCATAGAAATGGATTTGCTTGAAATTCTGTCCCTGACCAGGTTTTTAATTGTCATGTTCAACAGAGTTTAGGGTTTGGAATAAAAAAGACATATAGAAATTTGTACAGTCAGTCTTACAAATAAAAAAAATAGACAGGATGTGTTCTCGGTTACCTGGTTAGAGACAAATGTCACAAGCAAAAGATTGCAGGAACAAAGACTAACAGGAAATCAGTGATGCGTGGTGAAATACAAGGAAAAGAGCAGTTTTCTCTGGGAAGGTGGGAAGTGACACAACAGCTCTTCTGGCTATCTAGTTTGATACCTGAATCGTCTTCAAGAGATAATTGCATACAAGCGTTTGACTGAAACATGATTTACATGTCTAATAGCTTCCACTTTCTTGAAAGGTTATAGGAGACATGTATACCTCTTCGCAGTTCAAATGTAAGATATCTTATATCTGTTTTAGTTCCAGGTCTGACTGGAGTCATCATGGTGTTAGTATTATTCCTAATGTGTACAGCTTCTACATATGCCATCAGGTAAGACATAATGTGATCATTATGCTGAGAAATGCCATTTGAGAAATCATATTCTCATAGTGGTTAGAGGGAATGAAGAGTAAATGCAATATGAGGCAAGAAGTATTTAAATGAGTGTTAAAAATACCGGTTTTCTTGTCTCCCCCCCCCCCTTTTTTTTTTTTGCTAACTTCCAGGTAAATCAGACAAAG